AAGCAATATTAGTTTACCTTTGCTCAAAGTCATCAATCCATTTTGATAAGTTCCTGTGAGTTTTTAAAGAAAACAAAACGTGCTTTAAGCATATGTTTCTGTTAAACGAACAATTGTCAAATCTGACATGTCTGAAGACAATATGTGTGATAAATACTAAAACAAATCACTGTTTAAATCACTGATCTAAAAACAGTAAAGGGATTAATATGACATTTCGTTTGCTATATTTTTAATAATATTTATATTTAATATTTTGGGTTATAGATTTAAATTGCTTCATGTACATTTATATTAATGTTAACTTGTAAAATACCGATTTCATTAGTAAAATCTTAATTCTAGGTACAACTCGACTTTTTTGTATTAGCATAGCACGGGGTTTTTTCAATACAATGTTACAATAATCAGATTTTAAAAAGAACAAATCGAACAGAATGAAAAATTTCATCTCGAAAAAGAAAGTTTGAATTTAAAAAAAAAGAGATAACTTAGCTTCCATTTTGTCGGTATCGGTATTGAACTATCACTCCCTGATGGTACAAAACGCCCGTTAGCCGGTGTTTTGGTATTTGCCCTATTGGAATGATATATTTTCCCTTTCAATGGCTAAAAAATAGAGAAATTCTGGATAAGAGAATTAGGTACTGCAATACCATACGGTTGCAATAATAACATCAAAAATGTAGAAAATATGTTAAGTCTAGCCTGCAGTTATCTATATGTAATGAGTTTATTCATCCTAGCTTAAGACTCAAGCGTAGTCATTGTCAAAAACCTAACCACTGTCCAAATGTGAAAAATTCTCCCAAATCTAGATCACTCACTGGGAGCTTTGGTAACATGCATTCACATCTCCATCATCCGTGCTTGAAAAGATTAAAATCTTGATCTGATTCCCAAGGAGCACAATCCTCCGTGGGAATCGTACCTAGATTTTACTTACCCACCGTTTTTATTTTTAGTGTAATTGCTCCTCGGGATTCGTATCCCTCCGCGCATTTCGGGTCGGAATACCCGGCATGACCTTCAATTTTGATACCTTTCACACCTCCCATACCACATGAAAAAAGAAATAATCTACAAGAATTTCCTCCATACAAAGGGAAACATACGCTACAAAGTTATTGTTTTTAGATACACTTCGGCATATTTTATTGAAAATGAAACCGAGGATAAAACATACTACACCAAAGAATAAGTGATCAGTATGCTAGAGATATCTCATTGACAACATATTTGTTGAATTTGGAGGTAGTCTAGCTTTTGGTATTTTCATATGAGTCGTAGTTCCTTGAAAAAGTTGTAAGAAATAAGATTAAAAAAGCTAGATCATTTAATTTCACACACATATATATATTGGTCAATTAACAATCCAAACTTTTCTAAACGGGTCCCATTAATTTATCCTCCTGAACTTAAGTTTAACGAAATCAAAAACACAGATTCCTCCGCCTCATTTTTCGACATATACCTCGAGATTGTCTTCAGTGGTAGAATCTATGACAAACGAGACGATTTCTATTTTCAAGTTATAAATTTTCATCACCTTAGCAGCAATATTCCAACTTCAATCGCGTATATGGAGTATATGCGATATTCAAGATCTTACAGGTGCTACTCAGATTTCGTACAACGTCTTCGATGTCTGAGCATGAAACCACATGGTGAGTTCCGGATAGATTTTGTGACACCGATACAAAATTTGAACCTGAAAGAGACATGCCTTACGGTTACAGAAGCAAATTTTGTCAAAGTTTGCCCGAAGAAAAATGATAATCAAAACGAAATACAATAGGATCTTTCCCTTTCAGAAAAGGAAAGATCTTAATTATTGAAAGTCATATAATATGTTTTATAATAAAATTACAGGCATGTCTTCTTGGGGAGAAATTGCATTATTTTAAGCATGAATATTTATGCAACGAAAGGTCTGCAGATAAAAATAGACACAAAAATACTATATAAATTAACATGCGTTTGGCTGCTGGACAGATATGAAATATATGTATATAAACTTCCTCTGAGTAATTACCATACTGAAACTTGATTTTATCATTTTAAGATGTCAAGAGTCTGATACATTCAATTGTGTTTCTAAATATTATTATTATGTGGAAAACAACAGAGTGAAAATTTCTCGAATTTGACCTTGACTTGATGTAAAGTATACCTTTGTTCTCTACATTCTATGTTCATGAAATAATGAAATTGTTCTACAACTAACGTGAACCTACATCAGGCAAAGTTGATCTTTGCAATAGTTCGCTGTCACATTTTAGCTCTTTTGAATTTTATGCTTTCAAAGGGTTTTTTGTTAGACTTTCAAATTGTTGAAAGTTATTCCAGGACAAAACACGTGTTGCACGCATGAATATCATATAATTTGGTTTTCAATCAACAGAGTTTGAATATTAAAATCTCTTTAATCGAATGGATGCATTAGAAATTATATTGATTCTAAATAAATATGTTTTGCTAAATGAGATATATTCTTAATGAATTACAAAAGAAGATATCTATTAGATTATGAAAGCTATATTTATAGACATGATGTACAAAATAGAGGGGGAAATTACCAGGGGACAATTAAAAGAGGGACATTCATACTCATATATCGAAAATAAAATGACAATGACATGACTAAAAAAGAAAAAGATGAACAGACAAAAAATAGTACACAAACACAAAATAGAAAAACTAAAGACTAAGCAACACGAAGCCCTCCAAAAACTGGGGTGATCCCAGGTGCTTCGGGGTGGGGGGTAAAAATGATATCTTTTCATCTTTTCCATAAAGGCAGACAATAATACCATTGCCAAAAAGACAAACGACGTAAAGACAAAGGTTATTTTCGACGAACAAAGTCATTAAAACTCACTGTATTCACATTAATCAAGAACACAAATCTTTGTTTTAATATCATTTTTTGTCAATTGATAGTAAATCTTTAACTTAATAAAAGAGATTTCAATGGTAACCACTCTTGCCTTCGTAATACATTGTAACCTCACGTGCCTCTCTTATATACTATTATCTTAAGTACAATCGACCACGAACGTCTGGGAAGTCAAATATATATATATAAACATTTTAAAACCTTGCAAGAGAATATAACCAATTTCTAATGTCAAGAAATGGTAAAATATCATCAGATGTTTTACGTGACAAAATATACACATGCACTCATAGATAACAAATGGAGAAAAACTGCAAAAGAGAGGCGAAAGATACCAAAGGGACATTCAAACTCATTAGTCGAAGATAAACTTACAACACCATGGCTAAGGAAGAAAGAGACCAACAGTACACAAAACAAAATATAGAAAACAAAAGACTGAGCAACACGAACCCGCCAAAATCTGGGGTGATCTCAGGTGCTCCGGGAGGGTAAGCAGTTCCTGCTCCACATGTGGCACCCATCGTGTTGCTCATGTTAGTACAAACCCATGATAAGTCTAATCCGGTAGGTCACATTCGGGGAAAAGGGGACTGGATTGTAGCTACGACAATTGGAACATATCCGTTGGCATCTGTGAGACGAATATTCTATTGCAAAATGGGTATATTAGCTGTGTATCTTCAAATTAGGAAGAGTCTTAGAAAAACTGTAGTGCTGTGCTATCGCTGGTTGACTAATTTTGCGAAATATTTTATTATTTGTCGGTGATTTGTTTGTGTATGTCTTTGACCTTTGTTTATAGCATACCTTATATAGTACACGGATACACAATTGTAAGAAAGTTATTAAAACGCTATGATACCATTGCTTGTGTATTTGATAATAATCCTTTGTTTGTCCAGTAACTATCCGGATTACAAAAATGTTATAGTATTACGTTATGTAAACAATAACAAAAGAATAAAACCACAGTACTTTTCAGTGCATTTGCATTGATATAAAATGACGAAATACCAATATTTATATTTTCTATAACGTAGTTTTAGTGTTTAATGTTATTGGTATACATGTACAAGCTATTTTGTTAAAATGAAAGATTTATAGCAGTGACTGATATGTTTTTCTGATTTTCAAAACAACACTACTTTTTGCTCACAAAATTTTATTCTGTGTAGTGTTTTGTGAACTTTTTTGTTTTGTCGTCGTCTTTCGTTTATTGTTATAGTGTTGTCAGTTTGCCTTTGACCTACAAAATGTAAAGCAGAAACCTATCAATAAAGTTAAGACTTGTAAAGTTAAATAAATAAATATTTTACTGGTCAGTTTCTGCATTATTTTGGTTATATCGGTTAAAAACTTTCTAACTTTTGTCTGATAATCCTTTTTCACCAAAACTCCAAAGCAATTACTAAATTCATATGAAATCGTTTTTAACATTTGTTTTATTCTTGGCAGTCAGCAAATGTGAATCTAAGTATTTTAATTTGTGAATCATTCTGTTCTTGTTTTTTAACGAAATTATGTTTTACGTCTATACACCCTTCAACGGAACATGAATACCATGTTTTTGTTTTCCACTGAAATTACAATTTACCTGAAATTATGAAAACTTAAACAAACGAATTGGGTGACCTTTTAATCATATGCATTTCAAATATAAAAATTGAAAGCAACATTAGTTAGCATAGTATATAAATCTCGATAAGTCAATATGAATACTTTATATGGGTTTGTACTTACATGAGCAACACGACGGCTGCCAAGTGTGGAGCAGGATCTGCGTACCATTCCAGAGCACGTAGGTGTTTGGTGGGTTTTGTGTTGGTCAGTCTTTAGTATGATCTTTTTTCGATTTCGCCATGGTTTTGTCAGTTTGTTATGACTTTAGGCTGATTATCATTTTGATATCTTTCGCCTCTCTTTTAAATTCAGAAATATTTGCGTGCATTTATCATTGCTATTGTAAAACAACAGACAAACATACGTAATTAATCATTGCGATTTCAGGAAATGCTGCATACAAATAATGTTGTTAATATCTTATATGCCATTTTGTATGATTTCGAACATATCCAGTCGTAACTGTGGTTATCCCAGATGCTTGTTAAAACCCAACAACAAATTGGCAGTATTTGGCCACAGCCTTTAATATTATTTAAATTTATACATATTGTATGTAAGTAATCTTAATATAAATGTATGTATGTGCCGCAGATCGCTGGCAATTTAACTGTCACTTGTATATCTGAAAATATGAGGTTACCGGCATATCGCTGATTATGGCAACCGTACTATCAAATATATATATATATAAATGACTACCACAGATTGTGGTAACTGAATATAAGATTCGAAAAATTTGGATCACCGTGGGAACACAGTTGAGGGATCAAAACCCTGACATTGTTCATCTGTAGTGAATGATACTATTTATAAAACGAAATGTTTTTTTGATGCAGCGAATTATGCAATCCGAGTACAATTGTAAGTCATTCTTTGACGACAATTCTTTTAACATCAAGCGGAATTCTTCATCTGTCCATTTCGCAAAATACACGTAGGCTTCCAGAAATGTCAACTCATGCATCACCTGAAAAGATAACATAAACCAAAGCAGTTTCTAATTCTAAATATATTTACAAGAATTGCATGTTCAATATCAGCAACAAATATATTTACTGAAATTCTCAAGTGTTTCTTCTGAGAGATGTCTTTCTTTGTTTTAACTTCTCCAAGTATCTGTTTCTATTTCGATGTAAAACAGTGTCCACATTTGCAAACCAAACACAACAAAACGCTTAATTTTAAATGGCATGTGCACATACGGACATTCTGCACAATTAATCCCCGCATAAATCATTACAAAAATTGGCCCATCAAATCACACAAATCTGTGTCCACACTTGTTTATATTTACAAAATAATCAATTTACTGGGAGGAATGGCGGGTTTTTGGTTTTATATTGGAGTTCAATTGTCTCCTGCCTTCCTCCTTGGATCCAAATTGAAAAAGACTCGTTACGTCAAATTTAAAGGTTCAGTAACCACCAATGAGATTATGGTATAAATGTATACGTAAACTCACTAATAACCAAACAAAACATATAGGGTACAGCGCACCGTGATAACTGAATTTAAGTACAAATATAACATAGCAAACATTTCCGAATTTACACCTTAATGGGAAAAATAAGGAAATGGGGTATCCATCAATGACACAAAATCAGTATGTGCACCGAAAAAAAAAACACAAAAAAATAATGAAACAGGGCTTTTATTGCTTTATCTCAAAGTCACAGTGCCTCAGTCCTTCAACAAGGAGCAAACAAACTCTCACTTCACTGCAAGACGTCCCATAGCCCCGGTTTGAGCAAAGTTCTTTGCAAACTGATGATCAAACCACAACTGTGAATTGAAAAACAAAGCCATAGAGTATTGTCAATAAAAGAAATCTGGCAAAAAAATCAAACATGTAATATACACACATCAAAGTAAAACAAAACGATCAAATCGCAAGAACTCAGTTCGGAGGTTCAACAGAAATGGGTACACACCTATCTATTGTTGACGAATGTATTTTGACATATTGGTTTTTGAGAAGGTGAGGGTTTGTCTTTAGATAGCTATCTCACTGACAAATACCGCAAATCTACTTTTAATCAATTATTCTGATCATTGATTGTATTGTGTTGCTAGACGGTTGTCCATTGATAGACACTATTTACAGTTTTCAAAACCACTAAAGTATAATTATTAATGATAGTATTTGTTGGCCAAAATATATAATCTGAAGGTGAAAGCATTTTTTTTTTTTATCTATTATTGCTTTTTTTTAATACATGTAAGTGCTGTAACTTTTTAATTTGTCAAAGTAACACAAGTCCAAATAATAAATTTACACTTTATAAATGTTGTGCGTCCAATACGCTTTTCTAGATTTACAAAAGTGCCTTCATCTGGAAAGCTCAAACCCAAAGGTCTAAAAGTTAGATGTATTATTTGAATACTAGATGAGCTTTATGCACCATGTAGCTTAGACAATAGCCGAGTCTAAGGTCGACTTTACCTGAGGGTAACTTTATTTCTTTTTAATTTATGTTTTCAATTAATTAATGGCGAATAAAACTCATCTATACGTAAAGTATGTTATAACTCATGTAAGTACCGAATCACTGAAAACTGAGCTGATGATACCACATCTTTGTACATTTCATCACATCCTGAAATAAGGAACAAATGCGCAGGATTAGATAAGCTATGTTACATCTCCAGTTATACTCTGCAAATTGTGTTTTCTATCTTAAAAGTTGAACATGTTGTAATTTAAAACAGAAACAGAAATTATATTACAACATTAATAAAATGTAAAACATAAGTGTTTATTATATATATCTTTTTGAGGCATCTAGTTGTTGTTTCCTATATGAAAATATAAGCTACATCTCGTGGTATGCATCATACATTTTACATATCCAGAGTCTATTTGAGGGTTTTTTGTCGTCCTCTTATAGATTGATGTTTTACTTTTACACAATTGCCTTTTGTATTATCTGAATTTGTACTGTTTTAGATTTGTTTTTTCGGGTTTTTCTTTGTTTTTTTTTTTAATTTTGCGGATGATTAAGAATTTTTAAATTCTAAGTAATTTCCCAATTTTTTGGGCGATTATTTTTCTAATGCAAATAAGAAGGGATACCTGTTTTGTGTTATTGCTGATTTGACAAATGATTATTTTTAATTATGACAGGTTATTTCTTTAACAAACCGAAGATACTTCGTCCACTACTACGTATACTTGGTAATGATAACATTAACCTACCAAGTTAAATGCCCTAGACTCGAATCTGGACAATTGATGTCTCTTCAGTGATGCTCGAGGCCAACATATATCAAAACCCTAAACCTTATGCAATGCAAACACGGAAGAGCTGGTCAAACCAAAACGGACCTATACGGAAAATAAATAGAGATTTGTATGAGAAAGAAATATTTCTTGATTTTAAAGATTTTATAACACCAAGTTTCAATTAAACAATATCCGTATTTTCATGCCAGCACCGAAGTACTTGCTACAGGGTGGTGATACCCTTGTAAGGTTCGATTTCCTGAATCATGAGTATTGTATATTAATAAATAATACAAACACGTTCCCATGTCACTACGACAAAGCCTGCTAAATAAATAAAATATATTAAAATTTACTTTTTAAACATATGTATATATACCATGTGTATGATTCGGACCTTTTTAAAAATATGTATATATACCATGTGTCTGATTCGGATCTTTTTAAACATATGTATATATACCATGTGTCTGATTCGGACCTTTTAACGTCTACGTACTAGGTAAAGAAGAAGGAAAGCACACTGATACATAAAGTCAAATCTGTTGAAATTCATTTAAATTCAGATCCCCCGGAGTGTTTTACTCTTCATTCAAACGTTGTCATACATTGTAATCTTTTTATGTTCGACAGTTAAATTAAGGAGAACATGAAACCAATGATCCATCTACATCGATAATTTCTTTCAATGATTTAAAGGGAAATTAGTTGTACAGCCATTTGTTATTAATAATAATTACACTCAATAGGGAAGTACTTCACAATAACACTCCAGGAGGTCATTAAATGTAAGGAGCTTACAATTAATTATAAACAGTTTTGCATATTTACGCACAGAAATATGCGACCACTGTGTTATAAAATTTATGTGGTAGTGTAGTTCTTCTCTTCCCATTTGTCTTAATTACAAATGTACCCGGTCTGGGCAAAACCATATATTTAGGTAATACCATTATAGACAGATTATTGTTTATCTTAACTAATAAATTATTTGAGGATAAGCCTATCCTGATTAAAAGTTATTTCTCTTCATTTTAATTCGTTTCTATTTACTTATGCCTTAAGTTTGCTACACTATGATTTTTTGGTTTGATTTTTTTGTTTTGGTTTTTTTTTTTTTTTTTTTAGTTCATCGAACATTTGTTTAACAGGAATGTCTATCTTGTTTTTACAGTCCCTTCTTCTTGCTATTGCGCTTTCTGGCCTCAGTTTCTATTAAGTGCTTTACATTTTTTTCACAAATGGATGTCAGTACGTAAACAGGCAATCGTTTATCCGTCCGTTCTTGATGAAGATAGGCTATGTAGAAGTATAATGTATTCTAAGTGTAGCGTATTGAAATTCTTCACTATCATATTATTTATAACACTAATTTACGATACATTTTGTTTTTATTTTTTAAACTGAAGATTAAGCTATTTAAGATATTTAAAGCACTGCAATGATACATAAAATTAAAAAAAAAACACTAACGTATAAAGATTTGAATTAATATGAATTGCATATCATGTGATGTCAAGAGAAAAGAAAAAGGTATGATAAGACTTCTACCAAATATCATCCCTCAAATGTTTATAAAATATTAGTCTGACAAGTATCAGTATTCATAGTTTTGAATTTTGACTTACATATTGGTATTTAGGCTTCATAGTGTCATCACAGTGACCTCTCTGTACTGCATGTGCAAATTTCATCAAGACGTTCATTTAGCATTACAATAATTTTAAAGTATTGGATGATTTTTTTTTATTTTCTTAATTTTTGGAGCCAAATAATTGCTCTTAACAAATCATTTGTTATGAAGTGAGATTCGGTTTTATAAAGTTATATCTTGATAGTCTTAGATATATCAGTTAATCTATCTTTAAACTATTATATAATTTTTTAACCTTGACCTTTAATCTACATGAAAAGTATTTTAAAACACTGGTACGGGATAAACCGGAAATGTAAAATCAGATATGAAATATTTAGAGAAGTTTACAATGTAAATGAAAATAGTTCCTACTATACAAAATCAGATCAAAACATGAAGATCACTACTGTTTTCAAGTCTAATGAATTCAGCAAATTATAAAAAAAAGAAATGATTACCCTGTATTAACCTAAATTAATGGTATATTCAATTGGTCATATAGACTAAGTCTTTTGACCTTCAAAATATTTCTCATAAATTTAATTTTGTGTAAATTTTGAGTGCCCATTTGACAATTATCATCAAAATAGAAGAAAGCATGGCCAGATTGAAGACATTAAAAATGTATCTTATAACACGGAAATAAATAAATTGTTAAAGCATGTTTTATTTTAAATTTTTAACAGCAATGCATTCCAAAAGGGGTTTATAACGACTCCCCTTCCTTGAACACATTTTGTGTATTTTTAAATGACGAAATTTAATTTCACTGTCGAATACAAGATTTTTTCAGTGAAAATTTACATTCAAATGACGGAAGAGGAACAAATAAAACATGTTGAACATAACCTTCTATTATTATGCAAGAAAACGAACTTACACATCTATTCTATGAAGTGTGTAATACGTTTATTTTCATCATGCATAAAATGTGTTACATCTATTAATTTCATGAGGAATTAGTATCAAAATTTTGTGGTAATAATTATCACTTCCATAACAAAAATGAAAAAGCTAACAATGGGTTGAACTCAAAATATAAATGTATTCAAACTAATTTACAAAATTAAGCAGAATTCGTATTATATCAACGAAAATTATAAAATATGAATTAGAGGCAACTGTAGTTTACCGATGTTCACATCTCACAAATCCCTTCAGAAAAAAACAAATCAAAGCAAACAACAAAAACTGAGGGAATTGCATTAATAAATCTACGTCATTTGATCGCTGAATATATGTTTCATTGGCAGCAACACCCTATGGCGCCGTCTTCTTATTTCTATATAAGAAAAAATATCAATAAGAATCATGCTACTTTAGACGCAACACTTTTGAATATGCCAGGCTTACAAAATAAAAAGCGTCACTGATCAGTCTTTGTAGACGAGACGCGTATCTGGCGTACAAAATTATAACTCTTAAAATTGAGAATGGAAATGGGAAATGTGTCAAAGAGACAACAACCCGACAAAAGAGCAGAAAACAGCCGAAGGCCGCCAATGGGTCTCCAACACAGCGAGAAAATCCCGCACCTGGAGGCGGGTTTCAGCTGGCCCCTACACAAAAATGTGTACTAGTTCAATGAAAATGGACGTCACACTAAACTCCGATACACAAGACTAGCAAAGGCCAGAGGCTCCTGACTTGGGACAGGCGCAAAAATGCGGCAGGGTTGAACATGTTTTGTGAGATCTCAACCATCCCCTATACCTCAAGCCAATGTAGAATAAACAAACACACAGCAATACGCACAGTAAAACTCAGTTTAAAAGAAGTCCGGTGTCAGAATATGTAACAAAAGAAACTAAGCAAAATGACAATGATATATAAATTAACACATGACTACTAGTAGTTAATGACATGCCAGCTCCAAACCTCAATTAAACTTATTGAAAGATTATGTCTTCATCATATGAAAATCAAGCACGATCCCTCCAGTTAGGGATTTAGTACCATACCATCATAAAATTTATGAGAAGAGCATAACCCGTATCATGCCAACAACTGGTAGAATAAATGTGTTAATTTTCGATGCAAAGACCCTATGAGTGAATCAATATTAATACCAAGATAACTTGTATCTTCGATGAGTTGATTTTTTTTTTTTTTTTTTTTTTTTTTTACATAAATTGCATGCTTCCGAAGCGTTTTTCTCCATTTGCCCCCATCAGCGTTGCTTGAAGCCAAATATTTAAAAGACAAGGATGTATAAAAAACGAAACTGCTGAATATCTTCATGACCAAAAAAGGACCTAAATCATAGCCAAATCAATCTTAGGTCAACTTTGCTTGACGGAATTGAAACCATGGCTTTTAATACTTTATAAATTTATAAACGGAGAGTCAATTTATTCAATTAATTCTTCAATTTTTGGAAAATTATTTTGAAAGAAGGAATTTATCTCCCTCATTTCTGATTCCTTTCCCTGCTTTGTCCTTTTTGGTTTATAAGCTCTTCATTTCTTAAAAGTTTTATATTTTCAAATATTTTGGCCTGAGCATCAATGAAGAGACATTTATTATCGAGATGTTCATCTGGTGCATCAAAGTTGGTACCGTTAATGTTATTAAGAAAGGTTTGTTATATAATAGTGGTAATATCAATTAAGAATAGGGAACATTTTTTAATCCTTCTTATGCATTTTATGCTTCATCTTCAAATTCACTCTGTGATTATCCAGTAAAAATACTCAATCATGATTATCAGATGTACTTCACACTTGCTTAAGATATTTTATCTATCATTGTTTTAATATCGATTACACAAGAAGCAATATATTGTTTTAGACAGATATAGACTGTTATGATATGTTTCAAGAAAATAAATATTTGCAAGGATCAACCAAAACATACTTTTTAAGTTCATTTGTATGTTTTGGAGTTTAGTGTGACGTTCATTTTCACTAAACTGGTACACATTTTGTTTAGGGGCCAGCTGAAGCCCGCCTCCGGGTGCGGGATTTTCTCGCTGTGTTGAAGACCTATTGGCGGCCTTCGGTTGTTTTCTGCCCATTGGTCGGGTTGTTGCCTCTTTGACACATTTCCTATTTCCATTCTCAATTTTATTTGCAAGCCGATCCATATCTCTGTCTTTTTACCAAGTTTAAAACGTTGTTTACAAAATTTAAGAATTTAAGTCGATAGTACACAATAAAGAAGGACGCAATACGAGATGAAAAGGTAATACATTGAGATAATGAATTCAAGTGGGTAGGATAAAATCGGAATCATAGTGAAACAGATATGCTTCAATAGTCACTTAATAGCTAAATCAACATTTACTTGATTTAAACTTATTATCGTAAAATATTGTTTCGGCAGTTTTCTATATGTACATATCGAATTGTTTCGGCAACGTTCATGTAGTCTGGAATTCTCATTTGTATATAAACCTTTTGTTTCTATATTTCACCAATGTGTTTATTTACTAATAAAACTTTGCTGCTGTGATGCAGCCAAGGGTGCTGAAAGTGGAGTTTAACACCACCAAACAAACAATCAAATCTTTACAATAGGCACATCACAAGGGATATTTCAATGCATACAACATGCCTTCTACAAAACTTTATGTATGTATTTATATATTACACTTGCATACACTGGATTGTACAAAAAGTTTCAAAAGATGCCGGAAAGTCTTTTAAAGTTGACACGAAAAATATCTGTTATCCTTTTTGATTCCACATTCTTTCAACTAAGATACATAATTATAAAACAAATATACCTTTTTTAATCATATATTAATGATAATAACAGAATTATTAAAAATCTGCTAATTGGTTACAGATTCTATAACTATAACAATTTCTTTTAAAATCTTCTAATTTTTGAAGGTCTGTTTTAAAACTTGTTAGAATGTTAGAATGCATCAATTTGGACAAAAAGAAAACTTTATCGTTGTATAAAGTATCCCTGAATATTGTCCAATAGTAACACATTCTATTTGTTTATGTTGATAAAAGATACCTTTTCTATCTAATATTCCTGATAACATACATCACAGGTAAATAAAATTTAAACCACAAAATCAATACAAATGTGTGAATTGACTGTGGAATAACAATTTCAATTGACTAAACGATAAAACTGCTGAGAGGAAATCACCTAATTTTAAAGACCTTCTAATAATAGATAAGGAAATGATAACAGAGGACTTCCGCGTGATTTCTTATGGTATTATTGTACAATACAAAATCAAATTTCCCACAGAGGCTAGTCACCTGCTATACGCGACTACTTTTCAGTGGTTAATTTAAAATTTAAAAATAGATACATCCTTTTTCAAAATATATATATATTTCTTGTCTTAGGATGTCTAGAACATAACAGTAGAAGTAAGACAAGAACACAAGAAGCCTAAATAAGTTCACCAGAAAAAAATACAAGATGAATTTTATCAATGTAAGCAACAATACTTAATTGTATGAAATGCAACATCTAGTTTTGCTAAGGTTATTCAAGATATAATTATCTTTATAACGAAGTTTTCCTCTTTTTCAAATTTTATTGAGTAGCAATATAGCACTATATATCAACATAATTATGTGAAGTAATAGTTAAAACTGCAAAAATAAATAAACGTTAACATTAATACTGAATTTCAATATTAGCTCTGTCTTTATAGCCCTACTTTATAAAAAAAAAGATATTTTACGTTATAACCAAATTAAAATATTTAACCAAACGTTTGAAAAAAGGTCTACAAATTAACAGTTCATACATTTCATTGTCGTGAATTTTAAACATTTTTTTCATTTATTTCCAGATCCTAAAAGTTGTTGTACTATACATTTCATTCTGTATCACATATGTCAAAAGTGCCCCAACATGCATAGATCCAACAGACTTGAAGACCAAATTTGATAGTTTAAATGGAGGTGTAGATTATAGGACATTGTTTTTCACGGAAGGTTGGAAACAAGACTCACTGGAAAAAGATTTCGGTCTACTGGTATATCTTGGAGTCGATAAAGCTCAAAGCAGCTGTCCTTCGACATTTTTAAAAGGATCCAATCTTCCATTAATGGTACGTACATCATGTCCATGGTATTTAGAGAAAACGCAGTACAGCGCTGAAACATATCCACATGAACTATATAGAGCTACTACGAAATGTACTAAGTGTATAGATGCTTCTGGAGATCAAAAATGTTCACCAATTCAACAGAAAATCCAGATATTAAAAAGAGCAGGTTGTGAAAATGGATTTTACAAATATGAAGTAACAGATACCTATATTCCAGTAGCTTACGTATGTGAACAACCAAGAGAAGTCGTAAATGATGTACAAATAACCACTGCCCGACCTCCAGCTAATGGACCAGAGGAAATGTAAGGTCCATGATATCCAACACATCCTTTCCAGAGTTATTGGGAAAATATTGTAATGTCCTACGGACATATATGAAATGGTTGTATATTTATGATATTAAATTGAAAAATACTCACATCAACGGTAAGATGAGTGCAATATCCGTCCGCAATCAAACAGTCTCATACTGAAGCTAGTCACTGCCTTTGCGTGTTTAAAAGTATATATGCGATAATATGTTATTTATTTCCGTGAACATAATGATAGTGTTTTAAGAAATGCCGTTTTATATTATGTATGAGTGGATGTAATGCGTGTATTTTTATTATTTTTATGTTGTAACACAATTTGATTATGTATTTAAGTTGGTACTAAGGGGTTTTATATATTTTATTTTTTTAAACGATTCTACAAATGTATTAGATATAAATTGTTTAACATTCGTGTCAATGGTTAATGAAATATACATGTTTACTGTTTGAATTGTCAACGAAACAGGGTGATATTTTTGTATTGAATATTAAGTATTTAAAATGTGAATGTAATGTAAAGAATATTATAAATTTGCTCAAACTCTCAAATAGTATATTTTTATACAATTTACAATGTATTGTTATTTTTGATGCTTTGCTACAATTTTGTTTACTGTTGTATTTGTTTGGGTTTACTTTTCTTTAATAAAATTAATTAAAATAATAATTCTGCTTTATATACTTGTGCAAAAGCGCTATTACAAGTGCATACATATAGCCTGATAAAAAAAGAATTACATATTATACATACGTGGTATTCCCTCATTTCGAAAGCATCAGTTGTAGGAGAGAACCTATAGTGTACAGACATACTTGAAACATTTGGCATGATATTTAGAAGTATACGAAAATTTTACTTACAATTTATAATGTATACATAATATACATTGTAAGTAACTTTTTTTATTTTTAAATGAGAGTAGTATATTACAGGGAATTTCAAATATTTTTGAAACCAGAACCAATTGTACCAGTCGACACCTACAAGATCAATTTTGCAGAGTTAAGCAAACTAACAAACACAGTTACACTGTAAAGAAAACTTTCTTGTTACATAAATTTACTTGGTAAAGTTACACAATTTCAACAAGTTTTGCATACCCGTCCGAAGTATGGCATATTCTTAAAGTAAAACGATTAAGAAAAATGTGTGTGCAGATGAACAATGAGGAAGGAATACAATGTATAACGATACAAATACCTAAAAGATATCTTGAAGGTAACATACAGTCTTCAACATCAGACAGGATCGTGCCGAGAATATAAAAGCTGTGAATTCTCCAAATTGCAAAGTATTAATATGACGAACAATAAATACTGAAGAGGTTTCTAACTTTTGATGAAAATATCTCTTTTTTTTATTTTAGATCAAAAGCTTAACACAGCGTACTTTAAAGAAAATATTAGAAAAGTAGAACAAGAAAATCACTTACCTTTAAAATAACGCTTAAATCAACAACCAAACAAAAAGGTTATACCGTATTAATGAATGCTCGAAGTTGCTGAAAGCAAGCTCAATTACCATCCTCGTCCTTGCGAGATAGTTGTCTCACCGGCAATCATTTCACATCTCCTTATTTGTATTTCAAGGTAATAAAGCTGCTGATACGAACTCGTGTCATCCCACACTAAATATAGGTTGTTGTACTTCATTGCAGAAAGAATAACTTCATTTATTAAACAGTGCAGGAAGACATGATATTGTGCAATGCCCAAAACAGACTTCACAGAACATATGAAACATTTTATTATCACTTTAAACTATAAATTAGAGAATTTCTATTTATGACAGAGAGAATGAGAGGCAACAACAACGGTATAAGTATAACCTTTATCAATAAGTCTATTCAGACCATTATACAGATTTGAAAGATAAGTCCTTAACTTGTTAGCTTTATATGCAATTATACCGCATTACGCTTACATTGTATAAGTGTCATAAGTAATTCCAATTTAGTAGAATTTCATAAATATGACAATAATAGATTCACCTTGGTATAGACACTTGGTATCATATGTAATACCTGCTCTCCGTCATGAATAGCTCTTATTTCGTCGGCAGTGTCACATAGATGGGCAAAAATTTCTATATGATGGTCTGTGCCTACCTACGGAAGGGTTATGCAATTACTTTTCTTTCAATTGCAGACCGCATAACAAACAATTGAAAATGACTTAAGCAAAATGAAAGTTATAAATTTGATTGAGCAGGGGTGCCAATGATTGGCAAGTAGAAATGATAACATCCTACTGACATGTATAGTATTCACATAGCAGTAAATTAAAGAAATTGATGACTCTTACAGCTTTAAATATTCTGCAAAATCGGAGACGATACCAAGGGGGCAATTGAAAAATATAAGTGATAGAAAAAATCTAGATAACACTGTGAAAAAAACACCTGACAAACAAAATGCCTGAAATCAATTAACAGAAAATAAAGATTGGACGACACCAAAACAAGCTAAATTAACAATGATGAACTCTAGTGCTTCGTAATGGTCAGCAATTTCTGCTCAACTTGTGATATCCCATTAAACCAGTTTAAACATTCCCTTGGATAAGCCTTCACATTAAACAAATAGATAAATGTCTTCTGAGGCTTGGGTTCCGACACAACTTAATTGATGTCAAGCATTAGTTATGATAAAGTATTTGAATCAAATACAGTGCATTAACATCGTGCAATACAAAAAATATCGCATACAAGTGTTATATCAATTTCAGTGCGCTTAATTGATGCTTTTGGAATTTGCCTCTAACAAGATGCGCTTACAACACAACGTTTGGGTAACAAATAATAAGAAATGAATATTGTAAGACGATTTTCAGTGTACATCTTTTTTAACAGCAAAAATCTTCAGTTCCACGAGTTAGATTTTTAAAATCGCATTGAATAGCTGCGTTTTTGTTTTGAAACAATCCACCGTTTTGTAATTTAAAGGACCTTCATTGTATGAGTCTAAAATATAACATCTGTACATTTGTTGAATGTCTAATGTTTAAGCCCTTTCTATCAAATCACTACGTTTTTGGTGTACGCTGTTGTAAAAACATTATCAAGAATGCATTAGATTCTGAAACTGCGAATTTCAATAACAATAGTAATATTATGCAATCTTATATGATTTTTAACGAAGGAAAGCCTATTTTTAATTTTTTATTTCAAAATCGGAATAGCGTAGCATGTAGGCAGAAATGAGTTGGATTTGATTAGTAAGAAAGTATAAATATACAGAGACGTGTAAATGTGTCAAAATGTGCAAGTCATGTAATATGTTCATATTTACAAATATACATGACGCAAATGCTACCTTTACAAAGAAAATAGAAGCCCCAAAATAAGGGTTTAACCTTAATGATTCACAAGTACTCTTAGTGACATATTACTATCCACAACAATGACAGGGGATGGTAAATAATCCCTATCTATCTTAAAACATAATTGTTGGTGTTTACACCACTGTACAAAGGGAAGTAATGGATATAAGTAAAAGGGATATACGTTAATGAGATAACAAACAGCTACATCTACAAATTCTCATATGCTCGTGCTTTGTAGAAGCAGTAGGATGTGTCCTTGTGTTTGCTGTTTATGCCCTTATATTTTACAGTTATGATTTGTTTGGGTGCGAGGGGCAGTACTAACATTGAATTTATCTTCCATAGTTACTAGTAGTTATGAAGTTAAACATGCACATATAATGCTGTCCTGTTATTATCACTCATGGTTCTTGATATTACTGCAAACCAACAAGTTGTAAATTACTTCGTGAAACAGCAAGCATATAAAAATGATTACTTATTTTTATTTTTTTATTTTTTATTTTTTAAACTCGTCTTTTAATATTTATTTTTTTTATTTATTTTTTTTTTTTTTTTTTTTGTGGTTGCGTGTTCTAAAACTTTGACATTGCAAAAATGTCATGCTTTTCTCGTAATGCTTATGACGTTTTTTTTATATTTCGTTGGAGGTGAACTGGTTTGAGTTTTAGTCTTAGAAAACTTAGTTTATATATTGGCTGACTATGGCTTTGAACTAGCTTTTAGTTACTCCAAATACACGACAGTTGCCACATATGGAGCAGGATTTGCTTTCCCTTCCGGAGCACCTGAGATCACCCCCAGTTTTTGGTGGGGTTCTTGTTGCTCAGTCTTTAGTTTTCTATGTTGTGTGTTGTGTACTGTTGTTTATCTGTTTGTCCTTTTCTTTTTTAGCCATGGTGTTGTCAGTTTATTTTCTACTTGTGAGTTTGAAAGTACCTTTGGTATCCTCCGCCTCTCTTTTAGTAACTCCGAGTACTCTAACATCGCTATTTACTGCATTCTGTCTTTTGATTAGTTTAATGAGTCAGTTTTTTTTAAATTATATTTCTGATTTTGTTTCTTATGGTTTATGGTATGCTTTTACAACAATGCCCCATGTTTAGGCAGAGGTGAGCGCTTACAAATATGTTAAATCCTATCACATTCTTAATATCAGGTGCCTGTAATCTATTGGTTGTCGCTTACTCTATCCGTGTTATACCAATGGTATAAGGTTGTTTGAGGATTATTCTGAACTGTTTAACATACGTTGTTTGATTTATCTTTTATAATATCGATTTTAAGAGAGAAAAATGTAAGAACAATACGAAAAATGGGTACTTAAAACACGTATTGCATTGCTGTCTTAATGTCGTATGCCAAATAGTTACTTTAGCAGTATACGTAAAGATTGATGCATATATTACAGTACATTTGTATAATTAGGGATGACAGGTGGTGTGTTTAAGGTTTGCGCTGCGTCGGATAGAAATCGACCTTATGCAAGTGCACGTAAACATGTACATGTACATGTATAAGACTTTGATTGGTGTTGAAATATTCAATTACGAAATAAAATATAAATTTTGGTCTGTTTTGTAGGGTTCTTATAACAACTCAATTTTCAAATAGTTACAGACTTTCAGTACAGATGTTTTCAACCCAAAATAGGTAAACAGATGTATTGATATTCATTTGCATAAGGTCGATTTCTATCCGACGCATCTCAATTATAATGACTAAAGTTTTCAGAAATCATGAATAATCACTAGAAAAAGCAGTCAGGTATTATACATATTAACTGGAGAGAAGATATTTTTTAATAAAGAAAATGAATGCGAGTTAAACACATTATTGTATAAAAACTTATAATAAAACACCATATTCTATTTTTAATAAATCTAAATTGAATTTTTTGTTCACGCATCGTTGTAAATATAACGGAATTTGATAAGACTGTCGTACAAGTGAGAGGTTGAGCGCTATAAAACCAGGTTCAATCCACCATTTTCTACATTTGAAAATGCCTGTACCAAGTCAGGAATATGACAGTTGTTGTCCATTCGTTTGATGTGTTTTGTCATTTGATTTTGCCATGTGATTAGGGACTTTCCGATTGAATTTTCCTCGGAGTTCAGTATTTTTTGTGATTTTACTTTTTTTTTTTAATGATATCTAGTATTGAATGATATCTAGTATTGAATGATATCTAGTATTGAATGATATCTAGTATTGAATGATATCTAGTATTGAATGATATCTAGTATTGAATGATATTTAGTATTGAATGATATCTAGTATTGAATGATATCTAGTATTGAATGATATCTAGTATTGCACATTTGTCCTG